CATCCAGAGAGTTGCACAGAGCAACGGCAGCAACTTTATTTATTAGTTATAGTAATTAATCATCCCTGAAATGGAGACAGGATCGATCAAGATCTAACAGTAGAACACACTGAGCTTTTATTGTTGGTGAAGTAGTAGCTAGATTTTCATTACACACGGACAGTATCTGTGGTGTTTAGGAAATCATAAGTTAACCAGACTGTTTGATCATGAGTTTAGAGCTTTGTTTGTTATTGCATTATTGTGGATCACTTAGCAGTGATTAATCTCACTTGAATGACAGATGTCGCATGTGTATCACAACACTAAGAACATCAATGGAAAAGTGACTTATGTGTGAGTGACAGGATGCCGTGGCTTTAATGGAGTGATGATGACAGCTGTGTCACGTACCTCGTGTCAGAAAGGACAGTGAAGTTAATTCATGGTTTCTTGTCCCACTGTGTTGGCCGATGCGGACTTGAGCACAGACAATTGATGCACAGGCTTTACATACTATAGGGTACAAATCGGTCTGCAGACAGTCACCTTTCTTTCAAATTAAAATCAGAAAAAACACGCAGGGCTACCCAGGAGGTTTCTGGAAGACTGAGACTTTGCACCTTCTACAGGAAACAGCAGCTGGTTACAGATTGGGCTGCAGTTAGTGATTATGCTGAGGAATACAGCCTGCTGAGTTTTTTTTTTGCTTTCCCATTCCAAGCACAGTGGGTGGACATAGCACAGGATCTCTGAAGAGCAGTGATGGAAGGAGCGTACAAATCAAAGCGCCTCCAAAGTCCAGCAGCAACCACTTCAATTACAACTCTCTAAATGACGAATGATAAAGCGAGTCATTCCATCCCCGATCATCAGGGATCTTCTGCTCCACCAGCTTTGATTTGTTTGAACCTTTTTTATCATACACTATGGATATTTAAAATGGTATCTGAGAAATTTTACACAGCTGTATCAAATTCTTTCTGGGATTTTTTTTATTTTTTTAAATTGCCCGTCGACCTACTTTCAACTAATTGTTTCAGACGATGAAATGTAAGACTGTGTTTGGTTGACAATTACTCAAGAACTACTAAAGATAAATTAGGCAAATTGGAGATGGCTGAGTAGAAATCATTAACGATGATTTGCATTTGTTTTGAGCACCGTCTGTTTTCTTGTCACATGCACAGTTGGCGCACTCGCAGTCCACAAGGGCCGTAGACGACTACAGGGGGTACTGCATGGACCCTCACAGGCTTGAGCAGGTGACGAAATTTACGTCACACAGAGAAGAAAAGCATGAACTAGCTTTAAGAAAAGTGTTACACTGTTCTTGACTTGTGTCATGAGTGAAGTACATTTTGTCTTAGAGGAAGAATGTGCAGACGTCCCGGTATCTTACAATTCTTTGTGATTATGTGGACTGTCGTACAGCCACTTTTGCTACAAGAGCAACAACTCTGCATGTGCTGGAATACATTGTCAGTCATCCGCTGGCATCCTGTAAGCAGCAAAAAGGAGTTTAATAAGAACAACAGTGCGTCTACGTGGAATATACTCCAGCCCTAACACTGCCTCCTCTGTTGTGTGTCTCCCACCCCTCAGCATTACAACATGGTCATGGCAGCGGCGGCAGCTGCGTCGGCCTCAGACGACCACGAGCTGCTCCTCAACCGCTTTCTGCCCTACAGCACCTCCTCCTCCGCCTCCCAGCTGTTCCTGGACCAATCGGGAGCCTCCTCGGCCACTTCGCTGACGGCGCCGACCAACGGGGCGAGCAACTCGGGCAGCAGCAGCAGCCTGGTGTCGTCCAGCAGCCTCCGTGACACTCACTCCTCGCACTCGTCCTCGCACTCGGGCTCACACTCCTCACACACACATCCCGGGGTGGTGGCCAGCCGGAGCAGCGCCGAAGCAGCAGTGGCAGCTATTTACGGAGGGATACCCGATGTCATATCGTTGGACTGACCCACGAACAGCACTCTGGGCCCGGCTGCGATCCAGTAACAATACCAATCACAAACTGACTGAAGGGTAAGGTTTTGATCCAGGTAATAGACTGGCCCCAAGTCCTCAAACTGCAGCTGTCGGAGTCGAGAAGAGCACTAATAATCTGAGTGTGTAACAGGTTTAAAGGGGTCCCTTCACTGGACTGACCTGAGAACAGTACTGAGTCATCACTTAAAGGGGTCAGCTGTGTCGGCGTACTGACTTCAGATCAGAAACCTGTCCAGCATGTGAACCCACGTTTCTGCTATACTGGTACCAACCTGGCACAAACAGCAAAAACACAAAGGAGGAAGGCTCTTTTTTTACACAGAGGAGTGGCACCGTGTACAGAGAACAAAATATATTTTCCTCTTTTACTTTTGTATGTTAAATCGGGACATTTTCAGTCTAGTGAGCTGCTTCAATCGCTGTTTGTAAGCGGAGGACTGAGTTGTTGTTGTTTTTTTTTTCTTCTTCTCACACGAGCTTATACATATGCCTGTTGCCATATGGTTATCTTCTCTCTTATCTCTATCCTGTTTGGATTTTCCGTTTGCATTTCTCCAAGATTGGCTTCAGTTCTCCCTCCTTTTCTCTCATGTTTAGATTTCCGGTGTATTTTTTTCTCTGTCAATGACAAGAACTTTTTCAGATACTGAATTTACAGTTTATTCATGTGCTAATAATTTTATTATTCTTTTAAGTTATGTATGATATTTAAGCAGTTATAAATATAAATATATATATATATATATAAATATATATGCATTCCCTTTGACCTTCAGGTTAATGCTGTAGGGAGTGTGTAGGTGGAAATTAGCCATTTCTGGTTTTTCATTTTCACTCCTTCATTTCCAACTCTTTATAAAGACTCTGCCGGCATACAGCATTTAGAAATGAGACTATTTATACTTGCCAATTTAGAGTTTTGAGCTGGAAGAGTTTTGTTTTCCTTTTTTTGCACAATGCCAAAAAAATCGCGTACGGTACGTATGAAAACGATCACAATAATCGGAGTGCAGTCGCATCTGTGTGCCACAGTGTTTCCAGTCAAGTGTCCACTTCTTCAGTCCGACTGGTGGTTGTTCAGACACTTAAACTCTGTCCCTTTGTGTCTTGTCTTCTCAGTTGACTGTTAAAAAGGAATAACGACGAAGGTCAAGCTGTCGTAGCAGCGTCGGGCCTTTTAAAGACACAGGCGTCCGTAATGTGTGACCAAGGTTAAACTAGTGCCTGTTTATGTGCGTGCTTCACAGCGTGAAATTAATGTCTTAAATGGTCGCCCACAACCTCCGCTTCATCTCTCTCCGAGTGTTTTCTGAAGATTCGACCTTTGACTGATATCTTTAACCATCTAGGGAGTTATCTTTGGGTTGTGATAAAGCATCCAATAGTATAAGCAGGCTGTTTAGTGCCACAGATATAAAAGGCGATCTCAGCATGCCAACTTAGACCAGGCACAGAGCCAGATGATTCAAAAACACATTGCCTGTCTGGAGCTTTAAAAAAAAAACAACAAAAACCCACAAAATCGCCGGCATGTGATGTGTACGTGTCAAACTGAGGTGGAGATTTCCAGATACCTCGATGTTGTCGCCATCCAGCTGAAAAACGCAGGGTTTGCTCATGAATGTATTGTACAATTTGAAGACTGAACACACGTGTGGTCTTCGCTTCCGTTACAGAACCACATTGTAGAGACTCAGTGTAGTCTGGTCAGTGACACGCAGTAGATCTGGTTCCCCTCCTGCACCCTCTGCGTCCTTGCCCCTGTTGTCGGTCTGTCTTCGATGTTCCCCTTCCAGACGTCAGAGACAGACAGCTCACTTCAAAGCCTAATTATCCCCCTCACTCGACGAGATAATCGCTTCTGACAGGAACCCCCCATCACCTCACATCCGCTGTCCCTGTCCCTCGATGACGAACCGGTCGTCAGCCCAGAGTGACCCTCCCCTCTCGTCTTCACTTCGCCCCCTTGTTCTCCTCACAGGAACCAACCCCGCCTCTCCAACTGACTACATCGTTTTGCCGGAACAAATCTTGTGTATTTCCTGTGTTGTGCAGTATTTTATTTATTTTTTATTCTTGTTTCTATATATTATATTTTTACAAATCATTTTGATTTCCATGGCTGAGAGTGTGAGTCACTGTCACTCGGGAGGCTGTTGTGATATGATTTTATTTAATGTGCGTTTTGTTGTTCTTTGCCAGCAGCACAACTTGTCAACAAAAGGTATTGTTCCGTTATTCATCGTGGAGCTACGCATGCGAGTTTTCTTGGGAGCTGACGTCGGTCACGCTTTATAACAAGGGCACAAAACGCATGCTTAACTAGTCCGCGTGCGATTCAAGATGATTCACTGTATGAATGAGTTCAGGTTGTGTTGTGAGTCCCCGTTGCTTTGACACTCAGAAATGATCAAGTCTCTGGGAGCTGATGCGTTCAGTTAGCAGATAATGGATCATCAATTAATAATTAAGTCACAGTTACTTCATGCATTCATTTAAACGCTGCCATATTAGCTGGAATCCAGTCACACGGAAAGAGAGCAGCGTTGTTTCACACAGAAATATGAAACCTTTTATCTATGAAACTGGTTGTCAGTTGCAAAAATTGATGTCGGCTGACAGTCTAAAGATAAAGCAGTCTGTAATTTTGAAAAGACGGCCATGACTTTACTTAAATATAAGTACCAAAATACTCCATTACAAGTCAATGCATGGAAAGGCTCACTTAAGTAAAAGTTCAAAAGTATTGGTAGAAAAGTCTAGTTCAAGGACTGCTTTCTATCCAGTTTCTATCCAGTTTCAAATACAGGGACAGAAGAGACAGCTGGGAGGTTGATTAATGGGGGGGAGGAGAAGCAAAAATAAAAGTCTGATCCATAATTTAGTTTTCAGTTTGGAGCTTTTCTCTAAACTGTGCTTTTTGGTGACATATTGGATCATTTGAAACACTATTTAGTGGAGCTGCTAGCAAATCCTAGAAATCTAAAATATGACCCCGACTCCACTCTGCTGTTTGTAAGAAGCCAAAAGTTTGGAAATTACTGATTTCATTTTAACAGTGTGTTGTATCTTTAAAATTGTTATATTATCTTAGTAAATATCCTCATAAGTAACTGAAGCTGTCAGATAAATGTAGTGGAGTAGAAAATACAATATTCTCTCTGAAATGCAGTAGAGTGAGAAATACTCAAGAACAGTATTTCAGAAGTACAACCACCGTTTTTTTGGTTTTTTTTGTTTTTTTTAAAAGTTTGGATCTTTGTAACTTAATTACACTGAACCTTTTCCTTCTGTTCACCCCATTTTAACAATTGGCTCTCGCTGGTGTTAGTGCACCATTACTTTAATGTACTACACCCAACATCTTTTACCAACAACAACAAAAATATGTTATCAAACCTTTTCTAAAATACATTTGCAAGCTCGTAAATGTGGCTGTTTGTATCTGACTCTGACTTTAACAGCTCTGTGTTTCCAACAGTCACTGTTCTCAGACACATTTAAAATGAAGAATCCTGAAACATTTCTAGCCCCCTGTTTAAACAAAAGTATCCAAACTTGCTGATCTTGAATTGTCCTGATACCCTTCATGAGTTAAGAACAATGTCTCTCCTCTCAGACAAAATAAAACATTTAAAAACCCAACTGAGTTAGCCAAAAACTTCTGATGAACAAGGACGCTTGTGACACGTCCCAGCAGTGCTGTGTAACTGTGTTCCAGCTAATTTGGCTGTACTGTCGGTTACCATTAATTGATGATCCATTAACAGGGTTTTTTCTGCATGGGGGAGTTTTTAGAACTTCCCAAAGAGGTTTTATCCTGCATCCAGGGAAAATAAAATCGTTTGAATTGAGAATTTATCGCAATTATTATTTTTTTTAATCAGTTTTGTCAGTTGGGATTTCATTTACGCTAGCAGAATAGACATTTTTGTTTATCAAATGCTCGGAAACAACAGGAAAATACATCGATTATTGTTAATTCACCTCAACAAAGGCTCTTTCTGAACCTAGAAAACCTCTGAGTGCTCGCTTATCACACCAACACTTGTGAGTTAGTCCTTTCTTCCCAGTGAGCAGCAGGAATTCCTTAAGCTTGTGCGTTTGTTCCTATATCATAAAGTGCTACCTGACTTGTCATACTGATGAAGATGTTGATCCTTTGGCTTCTGTTCTGTCAGTTTGAATATTAATCGCCGGTGTTCGGATACTTGATAAGACGGTAACTGAATGCGTTTGATCACGATTTAATTTATTGAATCTTCTGTCCTCGCGCTCATCGTGCGTCAATGATGCACATGAAGTGGGAGAACAGACCGTGTTGAATGTGTTTCTGTCGAAGTGCTCTACATACAAGGGTCTTAATGGGATATACAGGATCCTCCCCCCTCCATTAAATGTCCAATGTTCCCTCCTGTGGTGTGATTATCTTAGTTTTTAGGGCGAAGCAGTCGCATATTGAATTTTCTTTGTCCCACTCTCTAACAAATGGGCGTTATTTGTTAGAAAATGTCATATTGCATGCAGGGATGGATAAGCACAGGGCTGTAGCCATCTCCCCCAACGTCACTCACACACAGGTGTGAACACATGCATAATATATCTATAAATATACATGGAATAAGGCCACTTCTATCAGTAGTTTCTCTTACATGGTGTTTTTAAAAACTCCACTGGCAACCTTGACAAGCAGCTCAACTCTCTGGTTGTCACAAACAAAAGGGAAAAAGTCAACAATGTGTATATTACGTCTGTATGGAACCCTGAAAACGGAAAGTTCAGATCCAAACGTGGGTGTTTGATGTTCGTTTGTATGCGTTTGTGTGTCAATTCAGAGCGAGAGAATAAAATAATTTATATATTTTTTAGAAAATGAAAGCTGTACTATTATTAAAAAAAAAAAACAAAAGAAAAAAGACTGTGGCCAATAAAGAGTCTCACACAACTGAAATAATCTCAAAGTCGAGTTGACATCTGCACTCACTGCCTTAAAACATTCACAGGTTCTGTTTCACGGCTCCAATCTGAAAAAAATCATTTTAAAAATTAAAAAGGCTTTTCAAGGAGGGAAAGGAGAAGACAGTGTACAGTAGACCCATGTCAGTTTGTACAAATATACCAAGTGAAAAAAATATTTATTACCTGCATTGGAAGAAATTGTTTACTTATTGAATGTTACCTGTTTATGTAGAAAAGTTTAGATGTAATAAAATGCATTCTGCTATTTCTCTTGTGTGTTCTCCCTTATTTTGTAAGATCTCTGGAGAAGGATTTTGCAGTTCTGAGGTTTTACAAACTTGCTACACTTTAAACGGAACACTGGGTGTCAGCAAAGAGTCGTTCTGGTCAACCTCACTCTGTGCGTAACTGACTTTGTTCCAAATTACGCACGCCTTGTCAACTCCAGCCGGTGCCCTTCTGGCTGCGACACAATCTATATTTAAAATGAACGTGTTAATTGTTAAACACTTGTGAAAAGATTAATTGAGTGTTTATCTTTTTGATAAACAGATTCGCGCAAAGACGAGGCTCATTACGCACAAGACTGATGGATGCATCAGACCTAATGAACGCTTCAACCCCTCCCTCGGAGTGAATCAATGAAGGATCGAGTGTGACGCTTTCCTTTTATACTGTCAGGAGCTGAGAGCGGTGAGGCTGCGTGATCACAGGACTTGGAGAAGAGAGGAGGGGAGATGAGAGGGCAGGAGGGTGGGTGGAAACACACTGAGGAACTGGGATGGCATAAATATTGTGGCGTTCCAAGATCCAGCTCTGTTTTGACATAAATCTGGCTTTAATATAAACTAGCTTCTAGATTATCTTGAAGTGTCTGTGGGCGGCTGACACTATGAATGAAGAAAATGAGAGCATTTGTTTGAACAGGTCACTGGCGGAACTGGATCTCTTCAGAAACCTGGATGACATCGACGTGACAGCTGATGGAAGTCCGATTCTCAGATTCCTCATCTGCCTCATCTATTCTGTGGTCTGTGCTGCGGGTCTGGTTGGCAACCTGCTGGTACTCTTCTTCATCAGGATCAGAAAGGAGAGGAGGAAGTCCAAAGTGAACTTCTGCGTGCTCAATTTGGCAGTGACGGACCTGCAGTTTGTCCTCACGCTGCCCTTCTGGGCTGTGGACAACGCGCTGGACTTCAGTTGGCCGTTTGGAGACGCCATGTGCAAAATCATCCTTTCAGTCACTGTAATGAACATGTACGCCAGCGTGTTTTTTCTCACTGCGATGAGTGTGACCCGCTACTGGTCAGTTGCCTCCTCTCTGAAGAACAGAACTGTGCATAAGTCATGTTCCGCCAAATGGATGTGCGCAATTATTTGGATACTGGCGACCCTGGCGACTGCGCCAACGTCGATTTTCTCAACTGTCAGCAACGTAACGGGGGAAAAACTCTGTCTGCTGAGGTTTCCAGGTGGACAGTACTGGCTGGCAGTTTATCACATACAGAAAATAATTGTGGGTTTTGTTTTGCCAATGTCCATTGTGTCTATCAGCTACATGATGCTTTTGCGCATCATCCGCAATCGGAGTATGAAAACAAGCAACCCCAAAAGGAGATCCAAAGTCACTAAATCTATCACCATCGTCGTGTTGTCCTTCTTTATATGCTGGATGCCAAACCACGCCATCACCCTGTGGAGCGTGCTGGTGAAACTAAACGCTGCAAACTGGGACCAGGCGTACTACATAGTGCACACATATGTGTTCCCGCTGACCGTGTGTCTGGCGCACACAAACAGTTGCCTGAATCCCATCATTTACTGCCTCATGAGGAAGGAGTTTAGGGACAAACTCAGAAGGCTGATACACAGAGGATGATGCTTTGGAGCTTTGAGAGCGGTGTTACAAACAATAACCAAAACGCACTTGATGTCAAAATGGCACACACAGAGACTGAGAGAGGAGAGGATTCAGAAATCAAAGATGAGCAACATGATGTCAAGACTCGACTCTGCTCATGGAAAATGTTCATTTTCATCTTTCGTCAGCGCTTCTTGTCTTTAAAGGTTGTCAATGTGGCTGGTTTCGATAGTAAAACGCGTATTTTGGTGCCAAACGCACAGAACTTCTTTATTTTGTGTAAACATATCATACATATGACCACTGTGGCATTGCTTGTTATCTAACTACTGTGTGTGAGGCATCTCCAGTTCACGGTCCGTGCGTAATAGCGCATGACAATTGGTGTGCTCACGTTATTACTGCGCAGGTGAAAAGTGGCTAAAAGCTTTCTCCTTGCACATGTGAATGTCTTAGCAAACAATGTAACCAGTGTGCGATAAGTGCGTTTATGAGAAAACCATTCCCTGTTGAAGCAAAAGAGGAGGAACGTTGAAGGTCATGTTTTTAAGACATGAGTAAGTTATTTACTCTGGAGCGTTAAAGACAAACGTTTAAACACAGAAGACAGAGGTTAATGTATGTGATGTGATGTAAATGTGCAAAAAAAAAAAGAAAGAAAAGCAAGTATCTTTGTGTGATAATAAAATATACTTGGTTGTCACTAAGTTGTCACATGGATCATGTGTGCTCACAACTAATATCTGACTGTGTAGAAGTCTTAAAGAAGACTGATTTTTGTAATAATCAAGTTTTGTTGTTTTTTTTTTTTAAAAACTTGTTAAGACACACATGAGCAAAACAAACAGTCAAAGCTGTGGATGAGCTCTTCCACCTTGAAACTGCAGCTCACAGATGACAGTCTCAAAAACTTCTTCTGGGATTCCATAAATAATAAACCTAAGGAACCGATCCTGTCAGCTTGCAGGGTGGAGCTTTCTGTATTATTAGTCGTCCTCAGAATCAGTTTCTTGTGAGAACAAGTCAGACTAAAATTCTCCAACATTACAACTTTACACCTTTGGAGCAGTTTTAAAGGGTTTGAGCAGAATCCTAGGTGAGCTGGTGTGCTGAGCTGCAGCGAGCAGGAACAGGTGGGTGCAGAAAGAAGCAGGGACTTACATAGTACTTGTACGTACTTGTTTCAATAAACCTTTGTATGTACCAACAAGACAGCATCAGCGAAGAATCTCTTCGTCACCTTCACATCATCACTACTTAATAAACAACAATGGAAAGATAAATATTTAACTTTGACACACAAGGATGAGGTTGTTTTTTTTGGTGAGTTTTAACAAAGACCAGGGAGGAATTTTAAAGTAACATTTGTTTTGAAAAGTGCTCTATAAATAAAGTTTATTATTATTGTTGTTATAAAGTAACAGGTAACCAGGATTTATAAAGGATTCATCTGCATAACAGTGAACCTGTCACTGGCAACCCATGTGCAGACACAGATGCAGGCAGGTGGAGGTTCAAAGGGATTTATTGAATAATGGAATAAGCAGAAACCAACACAGAGGGGGGAAGCTAGAGTGAGGGTGGAAAATAGAGAGGGGTAAACCAGACCTAATTCAAAAAAGGGGAAAAACTACAAAGGAAAAACTCTAAACACCAAAAGGGAAACTAAGGAAAACTGCTTTGTATTAACTAAGCTAAAACCAACAGGAATATTCACAGAAAAGGGGACTAAACTGAGGGGGCAGACCGGCTCGGGGAATCCGGGGTCTGGTGAGGGTTGGGGGAAAAGCAGGTGTGGGGCTGGGGGCAGGTATGAGCAGGCTGTGGCAGGATCACGGGTGTGTTGTAGTTGCAGGAAGGGTCCAGGTGGCAGCAGCTCAGGAAAGGCAAGCAGGAGACAGAATGGGGAGAAACACTGGGTATGCATGTCTATGGTCTGGCAGAGAGTGGAATGAACTGGGCTTTTATGAGAGTCAGGTGATTACGATCCCTGCAGCCATCTCCAAAACCTGTAATCAGGAACAGTGACAGGAGAGGGAGGGCCGAGCTGAGTGAGAGGGAGCCAGGCAGGGGCTGAAGTAGGGGTCCTGACAGACCCTCATTTACATCTGCGCAAAGGCCTCCTGCAGGTCTCACTGCTGAATCGTAAAGGAGGGCTATAATTGTAGAAAATGAGTTCAACCTACCCACACATCCATAAAAACTCAATTTTTCACCTTTATTTTGTATTTAGAGTCGGCTTCTCTTGGCTGCTGGCTTATATGTGAAAGCTGCAGATATGTGCATTTTCACCTTAATAACACACTGAGAGTTGATCATCAAAATCCATCCATCCATCCATCCATCCATCCATTCATTATCTATATACAGTTTAATCCTCACTAGGGTCGCGGCGGGGCTGGAGCTTATCCCAGCCGACTTAGGGTGAAGGCAGGGGACACCCTGGACAGGTCGCCAGTCTATCGCAGGGCCATCATCAAAATCATGATGGCCATTCTGTGGCCAAACTGATTGCACGTGATCAATTAATCATTTGACTGGTGAATGTTTATATAATTTTAAGGAAAACTTGCCACTTGATAGACCATAAACAATAAAAAATTACCATATGACCACTCACAAGACACAGAATTCTTCATCGATTATATTGTTTGCATTATTGTAAGTCACAAGTGGCTGTGTTAACCAGCATTCTCTAAACATATTGTCAATACCATAAACAAGCTACTATATTTTGTATCCAGGCAGATCACATAACATCATATTAGCTTTGCAGCATTATTGACACTGACATTTATGGACAAAAATAAATAGCATCTTAGGGTATTCAACCTTAAATCTGTACTCTTTATAATGTTTTTTCAAAAGTTGAGTTAAAATACTTAATTTCATTTAATCTTGGGCACCTTGCAAGTTGATTTTTGCTTTATTTTCAGGTAATTTAAATACCATGGAGAGCAAGAGCACCAGCAAAGCCCTGAGAAGCAGAGGTAATGTCTATGACATTGTTATTTCAGAAGTTTTTCCTCTGGTTGAAAAGTTTCAGAAGGAGAAGTTACCTATGTACAAAGAAGTCATCGGGCTAGTGAGGAACTTAGCTCAGGAGAAAACATATGATGAAGCTATTCCTGATGTATCCTCTATTCTCCTGTAACACTGGGTTTCCAGAAACATATATACAGTTTCTAGGCCAATGATCAAAACCAAATTGAAGGCAGAAGTCACAGAGTTTCATAACATCAGCAAAACTCACAAAAGCAAGCAGCGTGAGACATGGAAGAAGTGCTATCAGGATGTTTGACACTGAAGGACGAAAGGAGAGGATGCTTACTCCTGAACAGTTTGGTGACAACCTTAAGGTTCTATCAGGCAGGACCAAGGACAGGTCAACAGTGACACTGAGAGACTTTTGTTTGGCCATGGAGCAGCTCCCCTTACATCAGGTCTTGGCTGAATGAGCCTTTCGTGTGCCAGACACACAAGAATGCATACTGAACGTTCTCCAGAAAAATAACAATTTTGAGCATAATTATGGTATTTTATAAAATGCCAGTATCTTCAAGAAGCAAAATCACACAGAAAAACAAAGCTTGGATATCTTCTTGTTCTAAAGCAAAGATTGATTTGAACTCATTACCGGGTGTTTTTCCTCCCAGAAGGCATTTATAGCCTCCCCCTATGAATAGCCTGCTGAATGGAGCTGATGGGCTCAGCTTTTAGTGACACACTGGAGAAATAGACTTTATAATGAATTTTTCTGCTCCACACTGAGAGCCCTCAGCATCAGTCATCAGAGGGAAATGGCTCTGCATGGGCAGCCCACAAATAGAGGGGCTTTTTTTTTCATTGGGTTTCAGAAATGCAGCGCACATGCACACACAGCTAGGTGTCAGGTTAACCTATTCACATATTCATATCAGGAACATGATTGTATTTATGTCTGACAGTGCGGACTCTGGCTGCAGTTCTGGACTAGACTGAACTGAATGGAAAATGTTGAATTAAACATAATACAGGGATGGAATAGCTTCTAATTTCACTCCAAAAGCATCATCTGAAGGGGAAAACTCGTAGTTTGTAGTTTGGATTTGAAATCTATCTACCAGTCCTGTAACTTTCCTGACACATCGTGTATCTGACATGAGTCTGAACCTTGTAAGGTAATAAAGTGGAGATAAAAAACCAGGAGAATCTGTTGCATATTCTTTCAAATTTCCTAGCCTTAAAAAAGAAAATAATAGTAACTGTAACTTAATAGAGCCCTTTTTAAAATCTAGGTTACCAAGTGCATCACAAGCAAAATATAACAGACAAGTCATAAACCCTTCAGAATTTAAAATACACATTAAGGTGTGTAAAACCAACATAGTGTTAAAGAAGAAAGACTCGCCAGTCAAAGTGTGTTTTAAAGAGACTGAAAACAGGTCAGTGATTCAGCTGACTTGATTTCCTTTGGCAGATTATTCCAGAACCTCAAGGCCCGACTGTAAACATTCTGTCCCCTTTAGTTTTCAACTGGACTCCTATAACAGACACAAGTGCTTCAGTCTGTCCAGCCTCCATTAATTTTCCTCTACTTATCTGGGTTTAGATCACGGTGGCAGCAAGTAAAGCAGATCACTCCTGATGTACTTCTACCCGGCAACACTGTCCACTTCCTCTTGGGGGTTTCTCAAGGCATTCCCAGGCCAGGTGAGATATCTAATCCTTCCAGAGAGTTCTTGGTGGATCTACCTTGGGGTCTCCTCGCAGTTTTATGTGTCCGGAAAACCTCCAAATTAAGGGACCCAGGAGGCCTCCTAACCACATGCCTAAACCACCTGTCTGTAGATGAGCCCAGCCGCCCTACAGAGGAAACCCATTTCAGCTGCTTGTACCTGTGACCTTATTCTTTCAGTCACTACCCAAAGCTCATGAATGAATACCAACTGGTAGATCAAGAATTTTCCCTTGCGGCTCCATTCCCTCTTCACCACAACAATCCAGTACATCTGGTAGCATTACTACTGATGCTACAGCAATTAGTCTGTCCAAGCTCCTTTTTCCTGTCACTTGTGAACAAAATCTAGAGACACTTAAACTCCTTCGCCCCAGCCAGCAACTCCTCTTCAGCCCACAGGCAACAATCCACCAGCTTCCCATGGCCTCAGGATTACAGGTGACAACTCTCATCCTGGCTACGGCTCACTCTACTGCAAACCGCCACCATGCATGCTGTCAGGAAGCCAACAAAACCACATCATCAGCTAAAAAGCAGAGATGTGACTCTGAGGTTCCCAAACCAGATGCCCTCCTTACCTGGGCTGCACCTTCAGATCCATTAATGTCACAAACAGGGTCAGAGACAAGATCCAACCCTAGTGGAGTCCAACACCCTCTGGAAATGTGTTTGACTCTGTGCCGGAAATACAAACGCAGCTCTCGCTTTGGTTGTATAAGGACTATGATGGAAATTCCTAATCAGTTATTACAGGATGCAAAAGTCTTGAGTATAACATGTTTATACTGACGCTCGTATGACAAAGATATACCATAATGAACCCTGTGATTCTGCCATAAGTTTGACTTGTTCATGACCTTCAGTTTACTGCTCTAACCCTTAAATGTTTTCCTCTCAGCTTTGCACTGCCTCCAGGCGAGGAGGAAATATAACGAAGAGCCTGTAGACACCCTTGGGGGATGTGACAGTGAGTTACTCGTGTC